GCCTGCCGGCCGCCACCGCCCCCAGCAGCAGGAGCAAAAAACAGCAGCAATCACATGCCTCATTATGCACTGAGGCTGGGGCGAGCGGGGGCGCTCTGCCCCCGGGGCGGAGATGCTTCTGCAGTAGCGAGGGAAGCGCCCGGGCGCACCTGGTACCCAATCAGCCTCGGCCAGGGCCGGGCCGCCCGCGGAGCAACCTGTGTAGGGGGCCGCCACCGCCCCCAGCAGCAGGAGCAAAAAACAGCAGCAATCACATGCCTCATTATGCACTGAGGCTGGGGCGAGCGGGGGCGCTCTGCCCCCGGGGCGGAGATGCTTCTGCAGTAGCGAGGGAAGCGCCCGGGCGCACCTGGTACCCAATCAGCCTCGGCCAGGGCCGGGCCGCCCGCGGAGCAACCTGTGTAGGGGGAAGAGCAGGCCCCGTTTCTTTTCAAATGTTGCCAGCAGCCCACTTGCCCGGTCTGTTTCAGTTACAGGTAGCAAGAGCCAGCCCAAGGTTGTGTCCCACGTGGCCCATGCTAGCAGGTTGCTGCGCTCAGGATAAAACTATAAGGATAAATGTTCAGGACCCAGGATAGGATTTAATTGCGTAGATCTAAACAAAATCTATGGGGTTCGTGCTAGTACCTCCAAGCTTTGTCCCTTCACCTTGTTGTGCTCCTCTCTCTTCCTCAGCTGTGGGGCGGGACTTTAACTAGTCCTTTGGGATGCTCTGTCTTGGCTTCTCTTCTTCTTGTGAAAAACTTAAAAAACAACAAATAGTCTGGTAGTGCTTTAAAGACTAACAAAACATGCAGATGGTATGGGGAGCTCTCCTGGGCACAGCCCACTTCTCCAGATAACCAGAGTGGGCTGTGCCCGCGAAAGCTCATGATCCCATCTACATGTTTTGTTAGTCTTTAAAGTGCTACAAGACCATTTGTTGTTTTTTAAGTTTTTCTTTTTACAGACTAACTTGGCTACCCCTCTGAAACATCTTTCTGTAGCCAGTTTTTTTCACAGTACCCCAGGGTTAACAGAATGTCTGCATTATTATCAAGCACCCTTGTTTTACAAACCAAATGTATGAATGTTCAACCACACTGTAGAAGTCGCTGGGTTGCTGTCTTTGTCCTGGGGGTGATTTGTTTGAGTGCACATATAAAGTTTTTACCATATTTAGGGACTTTTCAGGTTTTTCAAGGTTTGTTGCTTATTTGGATCATGAACCTAGCCTGGTCAGTTTAATTTCTAAGTCATTTTCCACTGAAGTTCCTATGACCTAGCACAGTGCTGTTGTTTCTGTTGCAGCCCTGAAAAGCAATGTTTCAAGGACCAGTCTCAATATTTTAACAATTCACGGTAATATCTGAAAATATCTGCTATTGTTACAAATAGCACTTAAGAATCCTATGCCTAATAGGAAAGGAGGAGGAATTTCTCAGTTTGTGTCTCTGATATCACCTTATATAAAGTCATTTTCAGTCTTTATCATCTGTATAATCAGTTTGGACCTAATCCTGCAAAGGCGTCCATGTCTGCAATCCCTTATAGCCACGTGGATTTATTTACAGGATTGGGGCCGCCTTTGCTTTTCTCTGTGGATTTTTCTCACAGCAAGGACCAGCCCGAGCCATTCTTGTGCCCCAGGAAGTGAGCGCACAGCAAATGCGCAGCCCCACCCCAGGCGTGTGGCACCTGATTGATGTGTACAGGGGGCCGTACCCCCAGGCGCTTAGTGCATGCGCGGCCCCGCCCCTGGACGGCAACCTATGGAGGGTGCCTGATGCAGCACCCCTTACCAGGACTGGCCTTAGATCGATTCGGCCGAATCAGGCCCCACACCTAAGGGGGCC